ATTTAAAAAAAAAAAAAATGAGAGAGAGAGAAATAACTCATTTATACAGGAGAGAAATCCTATGAATGTAAGGAATATGAGAATGCATTTAGTTTCCAAAGACATGAAAAGACTCACTGGAAAAAAATCCAAAGAATGTAGTCAAGTCCTCAGATACCCCAGTTCTACTGAAAGCCATAAAAGGACTCATACTGGAGAAAAATTGTAGAAAAGTACAGAATATGCCAAAGCACTTACTGCTCTCATCCCCATTCAGACACATGCGAGTGCACACTGGAGATGCTGAATCGAAGAATACACCCTGGATGGAAATGTCATTAGTTTGGAAAATGCAAGAAACTTTTCAGTTTTAACAATTATTAAAAATCACATGGGCTGTGCACAGTGGCTCTCGCCTGTAATTCCAGCACTTTGGGATCTTGGGGCAGGGTGGATTGTTTGAGACCAGCCTGGCAACACGGTGAAACCCCATCTATACAAAAATGACAAAAGTTAGCCAGGGATGATGCTGCTGGCCCGTAGTTCCAGCTGCTCAGGAAGCTGAGGTGGGAGGGGAGGATTGCTTGAGCCTAGGAGGCTGAGGTTGCAGTGGGTGGAGATTGTACCACTGCACTCCAGTCTGGGTGACAGCAAGATGCTGTCTAAAAAATTTTAATCATGTGAAAACTCCCACTCGGAAGAAATCCTGTAAATGCAAGTAATTTTGAAAGCCTGAAATTGTTGTATAATGCTCAACGACTTGTGAATGAGTTATCATGCAAAATTATAAACATACTGCATTTATTAGTGGCTCATTCTTCTTTTTTTGGTATTTTTAGTAGAGACAGAGTTTCACCATGTTGGTCAGGCTGGTCTCAAACTCCTGACCTCATGATCCGCCCTGCCCATCTGCCAAAGTGCTGCATTTACAGGCATGAGCCACCAGGCCCAGCCTTTTTTAAATTTGGGACAGAGTCTTGCTTTGTCTCCCAGGCTGGAGTGCAGTGGTGCCACCATGTCTCGCTAATTTTTTTGTATTTTTAGTAGAGATAGGGTTTTACTATCTTGGTCAGGCTGCTCTTGAACTCCTGACGTCATGATCCCCCTGCCTCGGCCTCCCAACTTTCTGGGATTACAATTTTTTAGTATTTTTGTAGAGATGGGGTTTTACATTATTGGCCAAGCTGGTCTTGAACTCCTGACCTCAAGTAATCCACCCTCCTTGGCCTGGCAAAGCGCTGGGATTATAGGCGTGAGACACCAGGCCCGGCCCCTGTGGCTCCTCCTTAAAGAGCATCTTTGGAGGCCGGGCGCAGTAGCTCACACCTGTAATCCCAGCACTTTGGGAGGCCGAGGTGGGTGGATCACGAGGTCAAGAGATCGAGACCATCCTGGCCAACATGGTGAACCCCCATCTCTACTAAAAATAGAAAAAAATTAGCTGGGCGTGGTGGCGTGTGCCTGTAGTCCCAGCTACTTGGGAGGCTGAGGCGGAAGAATCACTTGAACCCAGGAGGCGGAGGTTGCAGTGAGCCGAGATTGTGCCACTGCACTCCAGCCTGGTGACAGAGCAAGACTGTGTCCAAAAAAAAAGAGGATCTTTGGACTATGGGTTTCTGCTTTTGCAAGGAAACGTGAGAATTCCATAGATAAGCTTTCTTTTCTTTGAGACGGAGTCTCTTTTTGTCACCCAGGCTGGAGTGCAGTGGTGCGATCTCAGCTACTGCAACCTCTGTCTCCCCGATTCTCCTGCTTCAGCCTCCTGAGTAGCTGGGACTACAGGCGTGTGCCACCATGCCCAACTAATATTTGTATTTTTACTAGAGATGGGGTTTCACCATGTTGGCCAGGATGATCTCCCTCTAGTGCTGGGGCAGGCGTGAGCCACCTCGCCCAGCCTCCATAGATACCTTTTAAGCAGTGGTACTGAGGATTAATAGGAAATGTTTTTTCATAAGTCAGTTAATTTTTTTTCTAGCCATTTTAGTTTTCATTTTTTTTCTATCCATTTGAAAGAGTGTTGGATCTGTGGGTGAACTGAAATTTATTTCTAATATGTAAGTAGGTTTAATTTTTATTTTATTTTTTTATGATGGGGTTTCACCATGTTGGTCAAGCTGGTCTTGAACTCTCGACTTTAGGTAATCCGCCTGCCTTGGCCTCCAAAGTGCTTGGATTACAGGCGTGAGCCACCATGCCCGGCCAGTAGGTTTGATTTTTATGTAGTGTTTAATTGTTCTGTGATTAATAGGCCATTGCAAAGTGAGTCTTTTAATTGAGATTTCTTACTGGTGTTAATGTGGCAGGTTCTGCGTATTCCTTAACTGTCATATGTGTCCTGTTTTCCGTTATTATGGGGAAAACCACTCTGGCATGACACAATGTTTACTTCATTTTCTTTGCTAATAAAGATTTGGTATCAATTTATAAGTATGTAAAGTTTATCACAGAGTATTGTCTCGTGAATCATTTTCATTTTTTGCCCTTTTTGTCATTATTTCTGAGTATTATTTGGATGGTTCATTTTGACTTAAGGACAGACCTGTGCTATGATATCTTTATCTAATCTGATGGAGAAAGCATTTAGTCTCCTGATCAAGTATGATATTAGTGATAGGTTTTTAATACATGCCTTAATTCAGTTTGAAGAAGTTCCCTTCTGTTAATTATTTATTGAGTGTTTCATTGTGAAGTGGTGTTGAATTTTTTTCAAATGATTTTGAAATGAAGTTTCGCTTTTCTTGCCCAGGCTAGAGTACAATGGTGCATCTCGGCTCACTGCAACCTCCGCCTCCTGGGTTCAAGCAATTCTCTTGCCTCAGCCTCCTGAGTAGCTGGATTACAGGTATGTGTCACCATGCCTAGCTGATTTTTTTTTTTTTTTTTGAGATGGAGTCTCTCTCTGTTGCCCAGGCTGGAGTGCAGTGGCACGATCTCTGCTCACTGCAACCTCAGCCTCCCGAGTAGCTGGGATTACAGGCTCCTGCCACCATGCCCAGTTAATTTGTTGTACTTTTAGTAGAGATAGGGTTTCAGCATCTTGGCCAGGCTGGTCTTGAACTCCTGACCTCGTAATCCACCCAACTCAGCCTCCCAAAGTGCTGGGATTACAGGCGTGAGCCACTGTGCCTGGCTTAGTTTTTGCATTTTTAGTAGAGATGGGATTTCACCATGTTGGTCAGGCTGGTCTCAAACTTCTGACCTTGGGTGATCCACACGCCTCAGTCTCCCATCATGTTGGACCAGCCCTGACCAACATGATGAAATCCCGTCTCAACTAAAAATACAAAAAATTGGCTGGGTGTGGTGACTCATGCCTGTAATTCCAGCACTATGGAAGGCCTAGGTAGGTGGATCATCTGTGGTCAGGAGTTCAAGACCAGCCTGACCAACATGGTGAAACTCTGTCTTTACTAAAACTACAAAACTTAGCTGGGCGTGGTTGTGTGTGCCTGTAATCCCAGCTACTCAGGAGGCTGACACAGGAGAATTGCTTGAACCTGAGAGGCAGAGGTTGCAGTGAGCCGAGATTGTGCCTCTGCACTCCAGCCTGGGCAACAGAGCGAGACCCTGTCTCAACAACAACAAAAAAACCTCCCAAAATTAGCCAGGTGTAGTGGCACATGCCTGTAATCCCAGCTACTCGGGAGGCTGAGGCAGGAGAATTTCTTGAACCTGGGATGCAGAGATTACAGTGAGCCAAGATTGTGCCATGGCATTCCAGCCTGGACAACAAGAGTGAAACTCTATCTCGAAACAAAAAAAAGGAAAGAAAAATCTTTCACAGACCAGGCATGGTGGTTCACAGCTATATTCCCAGCACTTTAGAAGGCTGAGGTGGGTGGATCATGATGTCAGGAGTTCGAGACCAGCCTGGCCAACATGGTGAAACCCTGTCTCCACTAAAACTCCAAAAATTAGCCGGATATGGTGGCAGGCACCTGTAATTCCAGCTACTTGAGAGGCTGAGTCAGGAGAATCGCTTGAACCTGGGAGGCAGAGTGTGCAGTGAGCCGAGATCACGCCATTGCACTCCTGCCTGGGGGACAAGAGCAAGACTCCGTCTAAAACAAAATAATAA